GCTGCCTCCTTTTTTCGTTTGTACTTCTTTTGTTGTCATCATCATTGTGTACAGGTATTTTAAAAAAAAGTTGACAATGGGTTACTTTCATGCCCATGGAGTTGGAATTTTTTTTCTTCGAACGAAATGTACGAAAAGTCAAAGGAAAACCAATCCATCGGAGTCTAAGGACTTGTTACTCCTGTTATCAAGTTTGTTGATGTTTTTTTCGAAAAACTCGACCAACGTCCGTCAATGGATCATTTTTTCTGATTCCTAAACTTACGAGCAATTGTGATATTAGAGGAAACAACGACACGTTGAGCAGCTGTAGCCCAGTGACAACTTTTGCATGGTTATTCCCATCCTCTAGGCCACTCGGTTATAGTTAAACAAAAAAGAAAAGAAAAAAAAAAAAAAACATTTAAACATGAGAAATTTCAAATTAAACATCCTACCGCCTAATAATACACATGTAGACGCCGTAGGGTCGCCGACTGGTGCCACAAATGCTCATTACACGGCTCGGCTGACGAGTTTACGGGGAAAAAAAGGAAAGATATCAATTTGGACACTAGCAGCTAGCCGTTGAAATGAAGTGTAACGTATTATATACTACCTGTGTACTGTTTAATCTCAGGTTCCTCTTGGCTTTTTTTTCCTCTTCTCTCGCGAGGAGGCGAGGACAAGACGGAGAAAGAGGAGAGAGAGACCGTTGGGCACCCCGAAGGACACGCGGGCCACTCGGAAACCGGAGTCTGCTGCCCGTTGCACACGGTGCGACGTTGCCACGTGCTTGTCTCTCTCCTTCTCTTTATTTTTTTTCCGTCCGTCCCTCTCTCTATACGTATATTATACAGCCTCTTTCTTTCTTTCTTTCTTTCTTCTCTCGAGCACCTAACATTTTTCTGACCGCCACCAGCACGCATATTATACATGTATGCGTGTTCAGGGGTACGTAGGACACGGGTAAAGGTATGGCAAGGCACGAGAGTCGGACGGAAATTTAACTCACGAAAGAGTTTTTGGCTGCACGAATCGAATATAACTCGATTCGCCATCAGCGTATGTACCTTGTACACATCTTGGAGAGGTTTCGTTGCATCGGAAGTGAATCAACTGAATTTGATGTCCGATAAAACTTTATGGGTGCAGAGTTACAAAACGTAGACAACAAACTGAGAGAGCCTACAAACGGTGTATCGTAAAAGTATCGATTATCGAGTAATAACAGTCCTATCGCGATTATAAATACACATGTACAGGTCGTACGTGTGTGTAGGGGGTATGAAGGAAACGCGGAATTAAATTCCACCTATAACTACCCGTATATACGAAGAGGAGATGGGAAATCGTCGCAATAAAGATTTCAAAGGTGTATGCATATACGAGCCTCGGCAGGAGCAGCAGTACAAAGTAAGATGGAGGAAGGAAGACCCGAGTATTGGGATTGTAACGAAATTGAAAGAGCAAGCGCAACTATACCTTACAATATTTTCAAGTAGGTACATGCTGACCTCTAATTTTTTTTTTATTTTAACGTCCAGATCACCCGCCATTGGGACACTTGATGTCATGTACTGCACGTCAAAGTGAGATAGACTTGAACATTTGCGATGATGTTTTTTAACTTTAATCAACCATCGCAAATAAGAAATTAATCCAACTGCCACCGTGTTGTTCAAACTCATAGCCGTGAGTGTGATACAGGTTTGTAAGGTTACTATGTTCTTGCTTTTTTTTTCAGCCAGACTTGAGAACCCCTGCGTGGAAGGGTCTCGTCTGGGTGTTGCATTCTCTCCGCTCGTCTGCCTCCTAGCAGCCCATGCCCGCTTTTTATTCAAAGGAGGCTGGGCGAGCGAGATAGGGAGAGACCGGCTGCTGGGGCAAGTGTACACGTACACAAGTATATACACCCAACATGTTATAGGTATGTGTATATGTGTACCGTGCGGGCATGAGAGACGATGCAATAACACTCCCTCGGTGCAGCGCGAGCGGTCCCTCTCCTAAACTCTCCCGAGACCCGTCCCCGTAGCCGGTGCAGGTATGGTATATATACACATAAATGGGCCCCGATATCTCTCTCTCGAGAGCCCCTTAGCTATTCCGGCAGAAAAGTTTGGCTGATTTCGCGGGAGGGAGTGCCCCTACACTATAATAATAATAACGCTTCTCAATAAACCTGTACGTGGGAGTATATAGGGCCGTTCGGTCCGATGGAATTTCGATCGGGGCATACCTATCGCTATACCGTGTACGTGATTACACGTAAGTATTTATACCATGCGAATTTTTTACTCGAACCGTGTATAGCGATGAGCGGAGTGTGTATTACAACTTCGACTTGTGTGTTTTGTTTTTGTTTTTTTCCGTGTCTTATACGTATCCGGTCGGCGGCCGTAGGTGTAGCATGTATACATTCGGCGGTATATTAATTAAGCCCGTCGTCGTTCACATGCTCCGCTCGCGCCGTTGACGAATTTATTTTTAACGGCAGGTTAAGTATCGTCGCTTACCATGACCGCCAACGCGTCGCCAGATGTAAGTGTAAGTAGGTATATATGCGGCGGAAGTGTTTATTTCATTTTTTTTTTTTTTTTTTTTTTTTTTTTCATGTATACCGCATACATTTACACGGCACGGATGATAAATGCGCTCGGACTTCGTAAATTATTCAGACTTTCGGTTTTACTCAACGAGATGTACACCTCTTTGAATATTATGTGTTTGAGAGACCCTTTTATTTATTTGAGGGATAATTAAAAAAATTTTTTTATTATAAACTCAGGAAATATATGAGCCATACTTGTCTGTCATTTGCTACACGATAAGCAAAGGAAACGAATAGCATCGAGTACTCATCGAAAAGAGGAGTCTCTCCTCGTAAAATTACCCCGAAGAGCTCGAGGGTACCCATTTTTATCCCTCCCTCGCGCCGCACGGAAAAGTAAAGGCCTTTTTTCCACAAAAGAAGAGCGAAAGCTGGGCACGCACACACACACACACACAAAACACGTGTCATTACAGCTGGTCGCCGCCGCCACGGAGACTGGCTGGTATAATAATATACGTGTACCTGATATATATATACGGCGTCGTCGTCGCCACCGCAACACCGGCTCCTCCCCTACCGCCCTTGAATTTCCCCGAAGCGAATTTTCCTTTCCGGTCGATAATACACTCTCGTGCCGAGTGGAGGGCCTGAATTGCAGGCCGATATGCACGCGAAACCACCACCAAGACGCAAACTGCGCTCTCCCTCTTTCTGTGCTCTATATGTGCGATACGCTCAAGGCGAATGTATGGCTGTAGGTAATGAGCTGCTTGTGCCCGCCGACGAATGTTGCTTCTCCGCGGAAGGGTATGGTTTTCAGGATCAACAGCCTGTTTGAAGTTATCGGGGAGGGCTAGAGAGTGATGATCTTTGAGGAAAAAAATAAAGGGTTGATATCGGGGCGAGATTGATTCGAGGTTCGAGCGGATATATAGGGGATGATAACAGCGAACTTTTTTTTGGGGGAGTTTTACTCCAGGATCCTGCGTTGAGAACTGGTCATAACAAGAAAATTCATCGACTCTCCGTATATCATGGGAAGCTATGGCCCGGACCGTACGTACGAAACTTTCCATTGTTCGGGAAAGGAGAATATTGTTTCTCGTTATAATGTCGTTCACTTTCGATCGCGCGAGAAGATTTTCACCGTAAATTTGCCTCTCTCTCTCTCTCGCGTTTATATGCTAGTTTTCCCCGTAAATAAAACACACAATACGATTCTAGAGGGGAAAATTATTCGTTTGAATAAAATAGAAAGTCCATGGAAAAAGAAGAAGAGAAAAAACCCAGAGCGCACCTGCCGATTGAATAATGCAGAATTCACAGTCCACTGACTCCGTAGCGGATCGAACCTATATTATGTATACACATCCCGATCTTAGACGAATAAGGAGTACACCACATACATACATTTTACGTACATCTGATGTATTATTTTTTTTTAGATCTCACGCACACCGATCGATGAGCCTTTAACCGTCGCGCTAACCCAGTTCCATCGACTTGTTGAAACGACCGCGAGGCTCTGGTTTTAGCATAAGACGTCCTAGATGCGTCCCCCGCCTATTGTGTTGACAAGCTGCGATTTCGTTCCTGCCCACGCGCGGTTGTCCTTTGAATCAAAGGCCAGCAGCGAAAAATTCCGAGTCTCTCTATAGGCCCTCTATATACATGTATTTTAGCGCTTGCCAAAAAAAAGCTCCATTCGCGAGGTATATTGTGTTTGTTATTTCGATGCCCAACCGACTTCAATGTTAACGTGCATTTGAATAATTATATACGCATACACAAGTGCTTCACGAGCGCGGATCCATTGTTGTGTCGGTCTTCTACTAATATAGGTATAAGCGTGGAGGACGAATTTTTGAATGAATCATCGATTTTGTACGTTGACAAACAGCTGCAGGCGATTATTTTTGGTCTCCGGGATCGTCCGGGATTTTCCACACTATTGGCCCCGACGGGGGAAAATCGTTTCGTACGGTTGAAAAAAAATGTTTACCACTCGAGTCGGACACAGAATCTCCGACGAACCAAACAAGTGGTAAAACTCTTAATTGGTTTCAAGATAATAATATTGTATATCGTTATTAAAACCTAAGAATAACAAGTGAGCTCTGTACCAGTTTGTTGGCCATTACAACATTCGTCGTAGAAATGTCACAGAGCTGAGTATTGACTAAACAACCTAATCGATGTATTATCAGCCTTTTAATCAGCTCCATCTAATCATACAGTTGAAAAAACAAAAAAAAAAAAACAAAAAAAAGACAACGAAGCTGGAAACATTTTCCACATGTATTACTGTACGAAAAAGTCGCTCGATTTGTTTAAACATGGTTGTATGGCGAACTGTTTTATCAAATAGTTGAATGAACGGTAGCCCATGGGCGCAAGACAGCGAATACCAGCGAGTATAGATCACAAAGAGCCGAATGGGTATACAGAGGAAGGAGAGCCTCACCTGATGTACTGTATGTACCCGTGCCTGGCGTTCTCGAAGAGGAAGCCCGGGTTCCGCATTTCGATCTTCTCGAAGACCATTTAATCCCAGAGTGGCCGCGCGAGGGCGACGGCCTCTACCTCGACGTCTTCAACAAAACCCCGACGACCGTCATCCTCCTGGTGATCATCGGCTCGGGCATGGCGATCGTCCTCCTCATCTTCACTCGCACTCACTCACTCACTCACTGTATGCGCTAACCCACCTATACCCTTTCTTTATACTTTTCTTGCTCCGAAGACTCTCGTGATCTTCTACTCTCGCTGCAGCTGCCGATCGCTCGATCAGAACGACGACGCGCTCGTCAACGGCATCTTCGGAAAAGAAGGAAAAATACGACGCTCCAGACTGGAGGGGGAGGAAAAGGAGGAGACAGCCACCGGCGATTGACCTCCCGGCTAACGTTGACACCGGCCGTAACCCACGACGGAGCTTATCATCTTGCTTTTTCTTCGACACCCAACACCACTCTCTCGCGCACACACTTTGAGATGTTTTTTTTTTTTTTTTTATTGTTGATACGAGAGGTGGTTCGAGTTTGATTCACTGCTCCGAATCCGAGGGATGATGCACAGCTTTCATGTGAAAGGGGTGAAAAACTCAGTGGCCGGTCGAAGCGATCAGAGGAGATCTAAGCGATGCTCAGCATCTCCCTAACTGGTGAATCAACGACACAGGCCACAAGTAGAGATAAACACGAATATTTATCGATTCGCAAGTGGCGATGAGACACTCGCGCTTTCGGTATGTATATATTATTCACATGCAATATATTGTGTTCATGGCAAAGAGGAATTTTTTGCAAAAATTTTGTGGGCGAATTAATTCGCGACACGGATGTACACACAAGGAAATGTATAGATAACACTACCGAAGTCGCGAGAAATGCGCGACCGCGGGATTGCTGCTCGGGCAACGAGCGCAGGGCGACTGATGCAACAGCGCTGCCAGCGGGCGGACGAGACTCTCCGGCGCACACGCGAGGGAGCCTCTCTCTCCCCTCCCCGTATCATTCTCTCTCTCTCTCTATATTTTTTTTTACCGCCTCACACACACACAGAACCGGCTGCTCTGTCAGTGTGAGACGCGGGCACTTGCTACTTGCATGTGTGTATTTAATTGTTCTAGAGCAGTTTCTTATGATAGACCAGGTATTAGGGTTTTTTTTTTTTTTTTTTTAACCGAGTTACGGCTAATTTTTGAGATAAAATTGTTGCCTACGGACATTTAAAAAAAAAAATTATTTCGCTCTAGAATTTCACAAATGTATGATCATCGATTTCAGGAAGCTTTGAGTATTTAGATTATACGCTACGATGGCATTATTGAGCTTTCCAAAAGATAAACATAATATTTTAATTATAAACCCATCCAATAATGATATAATACTATACAAGTAAATTTAATCGATATTCGAAGGAAAATACTTTTTTTTATTTTAATCGATAAAAATTTGCATGAATTTTTAAGAAAAGCAAATCAAAGTACTGGGAATAGATTTTTTTTTTTTAACAAAAAGAGCACGAGAGAAAGGGGTCTCTCTGTAGAAACAGAGTCGTCGAATTCTGCGGAAAACACTTATTTTGCGTTTTGTTTCTTAATTTCTCACTTTTTTTTTTTTAGGGTCTCTTTTCTTTTAAAGCGACAAGCTGCTACATTTTTGACAATTAAGAGTAGAGTTTAAGGGCTTAAATCTGTGATACTTGATTCGTCGATATTTTTCACATGTATGTGACTTTTGTACGACAGACAACAAAATTATGCTACCTACCACACGGTTCCCAATTTCACCGACTACCCCCTCATTTTTAATTTATACACGATTCATCTATTACAGCAACGAAATGCCTCCTTGAAGCCATTAAGGTTGAACAAAACAAAGAGAGTATATTAAGAAATAAATTTTAAAATTCGTAACCTTCGCGATAAGACCCGATGACTCTTGCTTGCGATAAAAGTATGAGGCATCTACCTCGAACGTGATAAGTCCATGCATATGGTCTAATGAGACAAAATAATAATGGAAACTAGCGTCACCATGGAATCACGATGTATCATCTATGTTGCGTTATGTTTCAATTTTTTTTCCCCCCATTTAAAACCTGCAATTATCGGATTGTTTACTGGAAAACAAAGTCTTCCCGGTGAGCCGGAACGACCGTGCCCGTAACTTTATGTGCGAACTACAAATTATACGCATGGCACGGTATATACGCAAGAGTTTCGGGTCAAATTTGAGCAATAAGCTTCGAGCGAAAACCTATGCGAGTAAATATGTAGTTTCTAATATTTAATTGCCCATTGCGCGCGCTCGCGTGAAAAATTTATTGGGCAATAACGCGCGCAACACATTTTCCATGCCCAGGAATTTAACGTTGCGACCCGCAACCATATAT